AAACATTGTGAAAGATGCTTGCCTTGCCTCAAAGACCTCAGAATTATATGGTAGAAGGGAAGAGAATGGGGTTCACGGAAGTACCCAAGGAGGAACAGAAGCTCTCTAAGAGAGGTTCCAGTCAGGGCTATAGGTTCAAAGGGGTAAAGAGGACTTCGAGACTCAGAAAAGGTTTCACGGGAGAAGTGAGGGAGAGGGTAGGCGAGTGGGTGAACGTTCGGACCATCGGGAGAGGTCAACTCCCGGTTCCCTCCCAACTGCCCGCCTCCTCACGCGCTTGGCGGGCGCCCTGCGCACCCTCTCCCGCGGGGCAGGCAGCAAGGCTCCCGAGCAGCCCACCCCGCCCCGGTTCTCCCCCGCCATTTCTCACCTCGGAGGCTTCCAAATTCCTCCTCGATCAACCCTGTCTGAAGACAGGAGAAAAAGCTGACAGCAAAGAGCCCCAAGGCGGGCGACCGAGGCGTGCTGTCAGCTCATTAGCTTGAGCCTGCCGCCAGGCCGCACCCCCATGGTAACGCCGCCAAGCGCCGGTTCGAACGCCCGCGCCGACGCCAGCGCGCTGGCAGTCCAGCACCGTTCACCAATGGGCATCCAGGGAACTCGTGGACGTGAGCCGCCTTCTCTTCTAGAAGACCAATCAGGGAACTAATGAAACGGTGGGCGTATCTCTCAATTTCAGTCTTTCTGTCTTTCAACCAATTACTCCACTTAAGTGAAGATCTCGCGATGTTCTAAGCGAGAGAACCTCACCTTTGAGGCGGGTCCAGAATCCTAACGCCCGGAGCTGCTGGTCGCCCAAAGCGCAATGGAGCTCTCCGGATTGGTCGACGTACCCCAGGTCTCCGTTCAAGGCCCGCCTCCTGCCTGCTTCCACTTCTGAAGGTGAGTAAATCTGAGGGAGGGACCACTGGCTTTAGTTCTCCGCGGCGGAACTGAGGCTCGGAGATAATGGGAGTTTGCAGCTGACTAATCTCACGTCGCTGTAGGGTCAGAGGTGGACGTTCCTTCCTCCAAGCTGGCAGTGGGGCGTGGTTAGGTCAGGCCCCAGACGCTCGCAGGACCTCAGTTTTTCTGTGTGCGTAGGGAGAAGGGATCAGTGGCCCTGTGCGTAGGGAGAAGGGATCAGTGGCCCCGCGAGCTTTGCTTGCCCTCATGCAAGTGGTGATCGGGTGGGTCGTCGGAAGCCCAGAGTTCCGGGTGTAGGGCCCAGCGACCCGAGGTCCATTCCTTCCCCTCCTTGGGCCTCAGTTTTAACATTGTTGTTACCTTTTAAGCCCTGCCTACTTTCCAAAAGAGGTTTTATATTTTCTAATAGCTTCATTTATTGAATGGATAATATCGTGGCAATTATAGCAGAAGTAAAGAAAGTCACACGAGAGTCCCACTACCTAAAAAAATAACTTCCTTTTTCCTTGTTGTAGCTTGGTTTGGACCTTATGTATTTATTATATCTCCTAAGGGGAAAATATATGAATGACAAATTAAAATAAACTGAATGCAATCAAATAGGCAAATGTAGCTAATGTAGAGTCGAGGCTGAGAGCAGTGATGTTGGGAGACAGGCAGATCTGCTTTTGAGTCACTACTCAGACACATGTCTGAGCTGTAATTTCCTTTTTCCTCTTCTGAAAACTGTCAGTAGTGCCTCGTGGGGTTGTTGTGAAGATTAAGTGAAATAACAAAGGTAAAGCACTTGGCACAATGCCTGACAAATAGTAACTCTTCCCAAAATGATAGCTATTATCTTCATAATAGAAACAAGTAAATATACTAGCCAATGGAGCCAGCAGATGTACTGTAACTGAGTACCCAATTTAGTTCAAAACTTGTCAGTTAAATAACTAATAATTCAGGAAGCAATACATTCTTCAAAAGAGTGGAATTTCTTCCTAGTAGCTATATCAAGAGGAATTTATCTTGTGGGGCCATCAGGGATATACATGGTGTGATCACCGGTAGTTTTGCAGAAAATGTGAAAAGCCATTTCTTGATTCAACTGTCAATAAAAGCTAAGAGCATGCCCTTAAAACATAACATAGAGAAGCTTTCTGATAATCTTGTATGATAACAGGGGTAAGCGTGACTCGTATATTCAGTACGTCTATGTCAGACCCTACATATACATTATTTATTTTAAACTCTACAGCAACCGTGAATAGTAGGTTGTTGTTTCCTTGTTTGTAAGATGAGGAAAATGAGGCCTAGAATAGTTAAGTATTTTGCTCAAAGTAAGACACTGTTAAATTAGGGAGCTAAGTCTCACTGTGAAGCCAGCCATGCTTTTCTGTGTTGTGCCGTGCTGTTTCTGACTGAAAGAGGATGAAAATACTTGGAATACCAGATGTACAAGCAGCTTTACCCAAATGGAGGGAGGTGGGCTGCAGAGATACGTACAGTGGAAGCAAAATCTTTCTCTAACAGGAAATTTCAGCCTTGGGAAATGAAGAGATGGGATGAGGTGATCACTGAACTCTAGACGCATGTGTCCATTTACTTTGTGGGTAGTCTATCGCACTTCAAATTCAACTTGTCCCAAACAGGAATCATTTGTGTACATTCTACTCCTACTTCTACCTAGTCGCTCAAACCAAATACCTCTCCCTTTCCCTCTCCCTTGGACAGTGAAACAGCAAATAGTGTTGATTTTCTCTTTGAGACCTCTCAAATTCATCCCTTCCTCTCCTTTCTCACTGTGTCTGCCTTAATTTGACTCTGTATCATTTGTCATCTGGACTGTTTGCAACAGGCTTGTACCTGGTTGGCCTCCTTACCTTCTAATTCTTTCTCCACTTTCATTGCTGTCAGAATGTCTCTGTAAAATGTCAACCTAACCATATTACAGCCATGTCCAAAACCAGTCCAAGGCTCCTCATTGCCTATGGGATAGAAACTAAGTTTTATCAATGGCATGTCATCTTGTGCTTGAGGGTCTTTGCTCACACTCCTCCCTTGGCCTGGAGTGCCCCTTGCCACCTTTATTCTGCTTGGTTAACTCCTAGTCATCCCTCAAAATCCTTATGGCGTACCCCTTGACCTAAAGATATCACCCCTTCTTTGCTACATTTACATCTTACACATACCCTTGTGATGCAAAAAACACATTTGGTAACTTGTCTGTTTAAGCATCTTCCACTTTCACTAGCATTCAGCTTCCCATCTACTCTTCAATCCTGTTACCACTGCCTGTCGCATGGGACATACTCAACAGACATTAGATGAGCGAATGAATCCTTTCAGGCTCTAGTATTAGAATTCCCCATGTTGGCTTTCCAGAATTGTACAGCAGATGGCACTAATAGGCCATTTAACAGATCTCCTTCACTAGAAATGATTTTTGTCCCAACCTTGTCTGACTTGGCTTCATCCTAGAAGCCAATATTCATGTCATTACAGGTGAAATCTCCTGTTTCCTCCCTCAGCCAAATAGCAAAGATAGCAAGATGACTCAGCAGCTTGGTCTCTGAGAAAAGAGAGTGGCAGATGTCCAGGGAAAGGTGCAGTTGAGGGAACATTTTCTTTGTCAATTTATTCAATTTATGGTAGTTGGGAGCTTTTTTCTTTCTTTCTTTTTAGTTTTATGTTTTTGCTGTTGTTATAAGAGAGAGCTTTATTCAAAGATGGGAGCCTCATTTCTGTCCACTCCTTTCAGAGACACAAAGTTTAGGGGCCTCAGACTACACTTTACCCCTCCAGGGTTGTCTTTGGGTACCAAGACCTTCATCTATACCACCCTCCAACTAAAACCTCTTCTGTGCAAAGGAGTCCAGTTAGACAACTTTAAAATCCTCCATATGAATATAGATCAAAGGGTGGGAATTCTGGAACTGGAAATGATTTTATAAATCATTTTCGTGTCCTCTCTCAGGGCCACTTGTGCCCTAAGTCCTGCTCTTTCACAGTAAGCAAAGCAGTATAAAGGGGAAAAAATACAGATTTTGGAGTTAGACTTACTTGAATTCAAATCTCAGCATTCACAGACCAGCTATGCCTTTGGGCAAGTATTTTAAACTTTCTGAATCTCAGTTTCCACATGGTAAACTGGAGATAATAATGCTTATTGTGAAGAGTTGTCTTGAGCATTAGAAAAGATACACGTGAAGAACCTTGCACAGGGTAGATGCTTAATTGATAACATGGTGGGATGAAATACTGTTTCTGCTAGAGGGATTTTACACTAGGAGGAGCAAGTCGGGGGGTAGGATTTGGAGAGCTCTTTCTGTCTGTAAAGGTACATTTATGAGGGCTTTGGGGGTTGAACTATGCTTACAGTAGCACTCTGATTAATTTGATGAAAATATTGGAACACAGCACATCAGTATAGCCATTTATCTGTGAATTATTTTTTGGCACCTAAGTCCTGAACCTCTTAGGCTGTGAGGGAATTGTATCTATAGAGAGAGCCAAGAGTATTTTTCGTTAGCTTCTGGAACCTTCTGATGACATTGAGGGTTTTTTTGTTCAGGTTTTTTTAACCACCTAAGGCACTTTGCCACTTTTCTGAAGTGTGAATTGCCTGCTGTCAGCCTGGAGTTCTCACCTCCGCAATCCTGGCTGCAGGCATCTTTGCATATTAGACGCTGTGTTCTTTAACCCCTGAGGTTTGAATCCACTCAGAGTTTGTGCGTGCCAGAACGTGTGTGTGTGTGTGTGTGTGTGTGTGTGTGTGTGTGTGAGGGAGAGAGAGAGAAATCTGGCTACTTTCAAACCCCAGGACAGTTTCAGCTCTGTGGTCTCCAGAAAAACAGAAAGACTCCAACAATAGCTCCATTGACTTTTATGTAAATGGCACTCCTCAGGAAAACACTGGGCTATTTCCCAAAGTCCCAGAACGTACCCTGAACATTTGTTTGAGTGGGAGGTGGGGAGACAGTTCTGTTGAGTCAATGAACATCTGTTGAGAGCTGCTGTGCTGGGTCCCAGGAGACAGCTCATAGTCTGGCTCTTCCCTGCCAGAGGTACAGACAGAGATTTACCATACTAGGCGTGCGTGCTTGTGGTGGCTTTGTACTGTGTCCACTTAGCGGAGCTGGAACCGAGTTTCCCAGGATTCCCTTCCTGTATGGTTCCAGTTGGGGTTGACCTCAAGAAAATTTTGTGCAAGATTTGGAAAACTGAAGTGAAGTAGCAGCCGGTACACTGTGAAGAGCACCGGGCATGGTGGCAGTGCATACCTTTTGACCCTGACCTGCTGGCTCACCTTGGTTGTGCAGGACAGCACCCAGGCCTGCAGCCCCCCAACTCCTGCTGAATCTCCTCCTTCAGCTGCTCTGAGAGTCCTAGGCTAGAGGTACGTTCAGCTCTGTGGCAAAGGGCCCTTGCTTCTCCTGCAACTCACTGGAGCCAGTGAGCTTGGAGACAGTGAACAGAAGTCGATTTGTTCTCACAGGTTCCAGTTCTTTCTCTCCTCCACAGCCAGCTTTCCTTCCCAACCGCTGGCCTCCCAGACTTACAGAGACTTCAGGCCTAACACCAGATGCAGAAGTGACAGAGTTGTGTGGATTTCTCCATCAACTTCCTAATTGGACAAGGTCTAATCCCTATACTAAATTCTTACTTTACTGTTGCTCATAGTGTTCTGTTTCTCTTATCAAACCCTACAGTAGAAGATTATTCAAGCCATGTTAAAGGCCCAGAAGATGGAATGATTAGAAGCCAGAAGGCTTCACAGGAGAGGTGACATCTGAGTTGTTGCTGAAAGGATGAGGAGGTGGTTAAATGGATGGGGAAGGAAGGAGAAATTCTAGAGGACAGCTGGCTCAAGCCAAGCAATTGAAGGGCAAATAGGAGTTCTGCCTTTCTGTCCTCTCTGTGGGTGCAGAGCATAGAGAGAAAGTGAGCATCCATCTGATCCTAGCTCTTCTTGTTGCATCAAGATGAACCGTTGGTCAGTCTGCTTCTTAGATGTGGTCACTGCTGAATACTGGTATCTACTGAGATACATTTTTGCTGGGTGCACCCCTGTCAGTAACCTAAGCCTCCTCCCCATAGGAAAATATTGGCCTGCTCCCCTCTCCCCAGTAGTTCCACATGGCCACCCCAGGCCTGTCTTTCTTGGCCCACCCTCCCATGCAGCAACTTTGTTTCCTCATGCTGTATTGGCGATAGCAGTGGTGTGGAGGGAGGACACTGTGCCCACTAGTCTGGGATCCCTAAGCTTATTGAGGGGTTCCAACATCCATTCCATGGGACTCCACTCGAAGCAGGGGCAAGATGCCCTATACCTATAACTTGCTAATACTTTTCTGAGCATCTTGATAGGAAAGCATGGGATCAGGTACCTGTTTCAGCCTAAACCTGGAACCAGTCATTTGAAATCTTGCTTCACGAGTTCTTTGGTGACAGGGTTCCTTCTGGCTTCCAGAATAAGGAACGTTCTCAGCATAAATGGGGAGACCAGGGAAACAGAACACCATATTTAGTAAAAGCCTGATACCAGTTTACATATGAATTTTAAACTCAAAAAGAACCATACTTTACATAGTTATGAGCCATTCTTTTTCCACTGAAAATCTTTTTACAAGCAGCACATTTGACTCTACCTCATTTTTTTAAAGGCCTCATAATCTTCCATCATATAGATGAAATACTGTACTTATTTAACCATTCCCATATTGATGGATATTTGTTTCTGCCCTTTTTCTCTCTTTTTTGTGTGTGTGTATATCTTAAACATGTATTTGTATATGTCAGTATGCCTAGAATTGGAATTCCTGGGTCTAAGGGAATGTGCATTTTATGTTTTGATAATTATTACCAAATTGTCCTCCTAAGGGGATATGCTAATTTTATCTCCCACCAACAGTAAATGAGAGCACAGACCATTTCAAAAACCCATTTTGAGATTATTTCCAATCCTTAAAAACTCTCATTACAGGTATAGAAAGGTTTGGAAAGGTCACAGTGTTGGGTGTGCTTGGTTTTTTGAGTAAGGAACCACTGTTCTCTAGAGTAACGTTACCATCTGTTGGTAGCCCTGAGAACTGCCCTGGAACAGGTTGTGACTTGGGTCTGATTTTTATGCCTTTGACAAATGCAAGCTCATCTTGATTGAGCACCAACAAGGGGGCCATGGAGACCATCAGCGTCTACTCCCGCCACCCTTTTAGCATCAGCTCTGCCACCTATGAGCACCAGCTCCTTCTTTGGCCCTGGAATCTTGGAGATGAGACCCTCCGACTCGGGCCTCTCCCTGCCTGGGCCACTCTCTCAGGCCTCCGCTGCATTTGAGACACCTGGTTTTCTTTCAGTTCTGCTGTCTCACCTTGGAACCTTTGCCCATGCTGTTCCCTCTACCTGGAACACATCTTCTCTCCTCTTTCCCTTTGACAGCTTACCTTCTACTCATCCTTTACTCTTCTTTCCCTTTGACAGCTTACCTTCTACTCATCCTTTACTCCTCTGCTCAAACATCCCTTCTTCCAGGAAGCATTCCTTGATCCCTCAGTCAGGGTTAAGTTACCAATCACACATTTCCCCTTTGGAGCACATATCTTATTGGCAATTATTTGTAAATTTGCTTAACTATTTGATTAAAGTCTGCCTCTTCCACTAGAATATAAACTATATTCTATATTCTTGTGAGGGCAAAAGCCAAGCACAGTACTTGGTACATAGTAGGTACTCAATAAATATTTGTCGAGTGAACAAATGGTACAAGTTTTTCTTTTGCAGGGCTTCACATAAAGGATCTTCCATATTTTTTGTTACTTTGATTACATGTCCTCCTTCAGATGACGAATTCTTTTTTCACTTCTGCAGATATTCCTACTCCCTTCCTGTCTTTTGTTGTTGTTGACATTTTTTTCTGAAATGGAAAAAAGGCTAAATGGAAAAGACTAAAAAAGTCTGTCTTCACTGTATTTCTGATTATAAAAATAATAAATGTTCTCTGTAAATTTTCAAATAATACAGATATATATGGAGCAGAAAATGGAAGTCTCCCCATAATCTCATCCCCCCAGAAAACAGGATTAATGATGTGTATCCTTCAGACATTTTTCTGTGCATAATGAAATGTATTGAGATTACATTCCAAGCACTGTTCTAAAGCACTTTACAAAAGTTAAGTCATGTAATCCTCATAGCAGCTCTTTAGAGTAGAGCTATTACTATCCTGTCTTACAGCTGTGGAAACAGGCTTAGGAGCTAATCACACAGTGAATAAGTGGCAGAGCCAGAACTTGAACCCAGGCTCCAGGTTCACACTCTTGACTACTCTGCCAGTTCACTGCTGATGGGGTAGGAAAGAGACTTTCTACCATGTGTTCCCCTTTATATTTTGAGTTTTGAACCATGTGAATGTATAACATTCCAAAACGGATAAAAGATTGAAAAAAAATCAATAATAAATTTTTAGTACACTAAGCTACCCTTTCTAAGTGACCCCTCTGAGCCATCAGAAACCACATTGTTGGGGTCTCTTTGCTGCAGAGACTCAGGTTGGAGGCTGAGGGAAATGGGATTGTGAATTTGATGATAATATTGTACTGCATCTCTCCCATTCCCCGTTTCAGTGGGGTTGCTTCTGAGGATCTCCAGTCTCTACATACACATGCCAGCCCTGTTTTAGCTGGGAGACCTAGAGGAATTGGGATAGAGCTACACTAACAGGTAGGGACCAAGGTCCTGCAGTTACACACAAAGGCCTGTCTCTGGCTCCTGGTTTCCCCCCGCTGGTTCTCAGCGTGCTGCCTTTGTCTATAGGTGATGAGGTCACTGTTAGCTGGTCTGTGCTACTCCGCAGCTCCAGAGTGCTGCCCGCCAGTATGGATCTTCCTGTTTTGTGTAACTTCGAACATCTTTTTTGTTACGCCTTCAGATAGACCATGGCCCTGAGAGCATGTGGCTTGATCATCTTCCGAAGATGTCTCATTCCCAAGATGGACAGCACTGCAATTGAGTTTCTACTGCTGCAGGCATCAGATGGCATTCATCACTGGACTCCTCCCAAAGGTGTGAGGCCAGAGGGGCGGGCTTTGGGGAAATGCCAAGCACTGTTCAGAAATCCACCCTGCCAGGCACCCTGCTAGGCTTGCTTCCCAGTGATTGTGTAGCAGGAGGGGGTGGGGTGGGCAAGAGCTCTTGATCCTTTCTACATACAAAGTCTCCATGCCAGGCCAGAGAAGAACTGGAAATAGAACTCTGTGGCTGAATTCCAGGGCAGAAGCAAGACCTGGTTTTCTTTCCTTTTTTTTTTTCCTCTTCTCCGCGCCATGCAGCATGTGGGATCTTAGTTCCTGACCAGGGATTGAACCCGTGCCCCCTGCAGTGAAAGCACGGCGTCTTAACCACTGGACTGCCAGGGAAGTCATAACACCTGGTTTTCTTGCATCAGTCACCAGAGCCTCTGTGGTGAACGGCTGGGTAGGGGAAGAGGCACTGGGCTGGGAATTGGGGACCTTGGGGTCAAGTTATTACTGGGCTACAGGTCAGGAGCCCATAGTGAACAGCCCCCAGACAGAAGGGAGCAAGTGGGGTCGGGGAGGGGTGAACAAGACTCCAAGGTTGGAAGAAAACAAGGAAGTGGGAATAGGAAATAAAATTTGCACATTCAAGTTTCACTGAGGAGAAACAAGGTGAAAAAAAAGAGAAGTGTCACAGATACTCTGAATAGGAATATTCACACTTGCCTCCTGATCACCAGAGTCACACTGCACGGTCCCTCTCGCTGAAAGATTTCAAAGGACCTCTCTGAATTTTCCCCTGCTTGGGCCTGGGGGAGAAGTTACCCTGTTAACACCGATGGGCAGAGTGCTGAATAGATGCTGCTGGGCAGGGTGTGCTCAGAGACTCCCACACAGTTCTGAGGGAAGGTCGGGCATCCCGGATCAGCGCCACCTGTCTCACCACCAGCATCCCTCCCTCCTTCCTCCCCTGGTGCATTACCTACCTGTCTTTGTGTCCGTGGCCATACGAGGTGCTATACAGAGAAAATTCCCTAGCAGCCGTGAACGAAAATGGGCTTTTAGGTCCAAGCTCCTGGCTGCTTTCTGTGGGAGCTGTGCAGCAGCAGCTGACTCAGGGCAGTGCGCTGAGGACCCCTGGGAAGGAGGAGGCTAGGATGTAGCCCTGTCTTTGAACTAAGAAGAGAACAGCTAAGAATTCCTGCTCTCTGTGAGCTCCTGAACCAGGAGGCCCCCAGCAACTTGCTGGAGCCATGTGTTGACCGAGACTGCCAGACCCCTCTCAGGCCTTCTTGGCACCCCCTGGGCAAGCTGAGAATTTGCAGGGAGGGCTTGAGGCAAAGCTGAGGGCTGCTCCCAGTCTGCAGAGCTTCAAGTTCTCTTACAACAGTTTCTTGGCAGTTGTCTGATTGGGTTTGGGCCTTGCCAACTAATTTTCTTAGAACTGGCTCTCAGCTTGTCCTTAGTCTAAGTTCCCATCAGGACTTTCCCTATGAAACTGGAATCTGGCCTTGCTCAGTTAGAAAGATGAAAACAATTTGGAAGAGCCTTGATAGCTACTTGGAAACAGCTGCTGCCGGTGCCTCGGTGCAGGGTTCGGAGACAGACTGTTGGCCCTGGGACTTCAGAGACCAACTGCAGACGGTGTTAAGTCTTCACTGTGCATTGTAGGTGAAGTGCTCCCTCTTCAGCCAGCTCCCACCTGGCAAGAAAGGACTGCCCCTCTTTGGGAAAATCACGTTAAGGTGTCCCAGGGAAGGGTCTCCCTGAGAATATGGGATGAAGAGAACTCCAAAGAAAAATAAAGAAGAGGTCTGAGGGAGGCTGTCTCTCTCACCATCGAAGGGCAGTATTCTAGACCAGACTTGCCAAATATATGTTTTGTTTCACTCTCTGTAGAGAAGATGGGGTGGGGAAGAGGGATTGCCCAGACACCACAGAGCCAGACACTGCCTGCCCTGTACCCCATCCCTAGGCATGTTAGAATATTGCCAAAGCTTAGCAACACCTAGAAAAGTCACCAGAGACCCCAGCTTTAAATCATCTGACCTGGAAAATCCAGCTTTGTTGAAGATTATATCCACCTCCTCTTCTTTTCTCCTAACCAGGCCATGTGGAACCAGGAGAAAGTGACTTGGAAACAGCCCTTCGGGAGGCTCAGGAGGAAGCAGGCATAGAAGCAGACCAGCTGACCATCATTGAGGGATTCAGAAGGGAGCTCAATTATGTGGCCAGGGAGAAGCCTAAAACCGTCATCTACTGGCTGGCGGAGGTAAAGGACTACGACGTGGAGGTCCGTCTCTCCCACGAGCACCAGGCCTATCGCTGGCTGGGGCTGCATGAGGCCTGCCAGTTGGCTCAGTTCAAGGAGATGAAGGCGGTGCTCCAGGAAGGACACCAGTTTCTCTGCTCCACAGTGGTCTGAACTGAACAGATCAGGGTCTTTTGCCTCCGTAGGATCCTTGAGGGCTTCTGAGGTGAACTACCTTTGCTTCCAGGGAAGCCTGTGCTGGTCTTTGGCTCATTATAGCAGATTGCAGACAGGCTGGTAAAATCAGCTGAGGACCCTCAGAGAAGAGCAAGCAAAAATCTCAGCTGGGTGGAAAGGAAGGGAAAGGAGTTTAAAAAAAAAAAAAAAAGGCCAAGCCCAGTGAGTGCATCCTTATACTTTATGAATAAACCTCAAGCAGCTTATCTCTCCTTCTAACCTGCTGTATTTATTCCATGGGCTCTTGCCTTGGGTGGGGAGAAAAGCTAGAGTTAATCAGAGCTCTGACCTTAGCTGGAGGGAATCCTGTGTCCAAGCACTGTACCCCAGAGAAGCTGAGGGATGGAGTCAGAATCAGAGAGACCCAACGCTACCAGGTGACTCTCCTGCCTCTGGACCTCCAAGCACCCTCACCCCACCCCACCGGTGTACCTGAGACGTAGTGACTTGTAGCGGACAGGATATACAAGCAAGTGGGACTGGAGTGCAGGAATGGAGTCTGCTATACAATCAGCCCACTGTATCCGCGGATATCGAGGGCCGAAGGTGGGACTCAAACATCCTCAGAATTTGGTATCCTCAGTGGGCCCTCAAACCAATCCTCCGCGGATAACGAAGGACGATTGTACTCGCTAATGTATCATTCCCTGGCACCAGGCACATATGTTATAGGTTCTCAGTAAATATTTCCTAAGGTAATTCGAGACCCAAGGAACATTGGAACAAATCCCCAGTCACAACAGGGAAAGGAAGGACAGGCAACCCTGGGCCATCAGGTCAGTGACACACACACTCCAACCTCCCAGCCCAGTCCTGACTCCCAGTCCTGGGTCAGCGTGGTTGTCAGCATGACTGAGGCCACTGGCAAGGGGCAGGCCTGAGCCTGGGGGGCTCAGCTGGGCCACCCGGCAGCCCTGTCACTACCCCGTGCATTCCTCGCCTGCCGCTGCCTTCCCCGCCTTTAGCAAGCCCTCATCATTGGCATTTCTCTCTTCCCACCTGCTCCCTTTTTCCACAATTCAACTGTAAGATCCAGAGCCGCAAGAGCTGGGTCTCAGCCCTCTTTCCCCTTGCTACTAGGGCTCAAGGAATGCAGGGCAGGTGTTAGATCCTACAGCCCTTCCAGGAGCTGTTAGCAGCTGGATTCATGTGGATTTCATTAGAGGGTTGTTGCCCAATGAAGTGCAGAAGCTTGGATGGGAAGGGGCATTGGCAAAGGTCAACCTGGATTACCAGGGTCAAGAACAGCCACCCCCAGAGGAAGGAGAGAGAAGTCACCCAGGTCTTCGATCAGGCCTCCAGATGTTTTCAGTCACTGGTTCTCCGTGCAGACAGGGCAGAAGTACTAGCGAACAGGATTTTGGAGCACTGCCAGGGACCTGAATGGTTTTGTTCCTCACCCCTCGGAGCAGCACTCCCCTAGGAGGCCTGCTACAGGAAGTTTTTGGAGCTTAGTGCTCTCCTTCCAGGCCAGCAGGGACCACATCCCACTGATTTAATAAGTGCCTGCTGGGCAGTGGTGCCAAACCACAGACTAACAAGGGCTGGCTGGCCCTGTGCACTCAACATGGGAGTCTGTGGAATCTCAAAATGTTAAGACCTCATGCATCAGAGTTGGGAGGGACCTGGAAAATGACCTGATTCTGCTGCTCACTTTTTTAGCTGAGGATATTCAGGCTTAAGAAGGTAGATGGCCCTGGCAGTTGCCTATATGTGAGGTCCTTTGAGGATGAGGTGCCAGAGGGAAGACTCTGCCTTAGAATATCTTGTACAGCTTTGGAGTCATTCTTCTGGGACTTACAAAGTTTTCCATTAAAACACAGGTACTTTGGAGAAGGTGGGGCGGCGGGCGGGGAAGCCCATAAACTGCGTTCAGATGTTCACTTTGTAGGATGAATTGACAGAAAGGTGGGACTGGGGCATGTTATGGGCAGTGGATGAGGGAGGGAGAGAGTGGAACTGAGATTAGGATGTAGCAGGTGAGTAGGTTTTGTTGTCATCACCACTTTGCTTTCGGCCACCTGGGCTTGTTCAAGGGCTATAGGGCTAAGACTGCAATTTCCCCTTCAATCTGAGGCCCTCCAAGCTCCAGAGCATCTCCTCCTGGAAGCTTCCCCTAATAACTACTCACCCTATAAACACCATCCTGTCCCCACCTACCTCCAAAAAGACTTCTCTTGGAATTCCACATGTTTTCCCCACTACCACCTGCACCACCCCAGGGTGAAGAAGCATCTAATGGGGCTTCCCTGGTGGCTCAGTGGTTAAGAATCCGCCTGCCAATGCAGGGGACACAGGTTCGAGCCCTGGTCTGGGAAGATCCCACATGCCGCGGAGCAACTAACCCCATGCGCCACAACTACTGAGCCTGCGCTCTAGAACCCACAAGCCACAACTACTGAGCCCGTGCGCCACAACTACTGAAGCCCGTGTGCCAAGAGCATGTGCTCTGCAACGAGAAGCCACTGCAGTGAGAAGCACCGCAACGAAGAGTGGCCCCCACTCGCCGCAACTAGAGAGAGCCCGCGTGCAGCAACAAAGACCCAACGCAGCCAAAAATAAATAAATAAAACAAATAAATAAATAAAATAAAATAAAAAAAGAAGCATCTAATGAACTAATCCCCACAAGGGCGGTCTTAAGTTGCCCCCTCCTGGGGGCATTTTTTTTTTTTTTTAATATTTGGTTGCTTTGGGTCTTCGTTGCTGCACACGGGCTTTCTCTAGTTGCAGCGAACGGGGGCTACTCTTCATTGCGGTGCGCGGGCTTCTCATTGCGGTGGCTTCTCTTGTTGCGGAGCACGGGCTCTAGGTGCGTGGTCTTCAGTAGCTATGGCGCGTGGGCTCAGCAGTTGTAGCTCGCGGGCTCTAGAGCGCAGGCTCAGTAGTTGTGGCACACGGGCTTTGTTGCTCCGCCACATGTGGGATCTTCCCGGACCAGGGCTCGAACCCGTGTGCCCTGCATCGGCAGGCGGATTCTTAACCACTGCGCCACCAGGGAAGCTCCTGGGGGCATTTGAAAGAGGCTCTGGAAAACCAAAATGCCCTCTTGACACCCAAAAGCAATACCTTACACCCCCACAGTAAGCAGTTGTTTGCTGAATTGAAGACCCAAAGGAATGAAAGTATAAGGGTGGTTTTAATGGTAGAATTTAAATGGAAATGCTCGTGCTGGTGTGGGACCCCAGGTGGGACCCCACGTGTGAGGAGCAGAGGCTGACTTCCCCATCAGTCCAGCCGGTGGCCCAACCGGTCCCTTACCTTCTAGAGGAGGGCCGTTCCAGCCCCGCCGCTGCCCCCTGGAGGTTGTGCTACAGGTTTCCAGTGAGGCTTGCTCTCAGCCTTCTTCCTAACCCTCCCCCTTCACTTCCTTTCCCCTCCTACCCCGCCTCCAGCTCCCCATTGTGTAACAGGAAGTGCTCAGCAAGACCCCCTGAGGAGGGGAAAGGGGGCTATGGAGGGAAAAAACAGCACTAGGATACTGAGTATAGAGGCACAGCCTCTTCCTGTTCTTCAGACTGGGAATCCCCAGGGACAGAGCCTCTTCCTCTTCAGTTTTTCCCCACTCCCCTGACCCCACCCCAGCCAGACTTAGGGCTTGTCTCATAAGGCCAAGAATCCTCCCCTCCCCTAATGGGTGAGGGGCGTCAAAAGGTACAAATTTTCAGTTATAAAATGAATAAGTCATGGGGGTGTAATGTACAGCATGGTGACCATAGTTAATAATACTGTAGTGCATATTTCAAAGGTAGGAGAGTGGGTCTTGAACCGTCTCATTACAAGAAAAAAATTTGTTTTTTAACTGTGTATGGTGATGGCTGTTAACTGGACTTACTGTGGTGATCATTTAGCAATATACAAATATTGAATCATTTATGTTGTATACCTGAAACTAATATAATGTTATGTCACTGACCCCTCAATTAAAAAAAAAAATTCAGTCTCTCTTTTCCCCTATAGTCCATTAAAATGGTAAAGTACATTGAAAACAAATTCTCTCCTCCCCTCAAGCTGCTGGAAAGATCCTTGGACATCATAAAGTAAATGGCCAGCCTGAAGATAAAAGCCATGTTGCTCCTTGGGAGCTGGGGTGTGTACCAGAGAGGGGAGGGTGTCAGCAGAAGTCCCACTGAGTCGGACAATGGCAGGAAAGGAAATCACCCAGTTGCCCCTGTGGTTTTCTTCAAGGCTGGGTCTGGGCAGGCCTCCCCTTGCAGGGTTGGGCTGTGCAGCTGTTCCCAGAACAGAAGGTAGTACTTCTTCAAATGCTTTTCAAAATATGCTCAAAAGTATGTGTGTGGGGGCAAAACAGAAGCAGAAGTGGATTTAGATCTCCCCTATTCGATATTTGTATATATTGCTAAATGATCACCACAGTAAGTCCAGTTAACAGCCATCACCATATACAGTTATAAAAAAATTATTTTCTTGTAATGAGACCATTCAAGATCCACTCTCCTACCTTTGAAATATGCACTACAGTATTATTAACTATAGCCACCATGCTGTATATTTAACACCCCACTGACTTATTCATTTTATAACTAAAAATTTGTACCTTTTGACCCCCCTCACCCATTAGGGGAGGGGAGAGAAGGATTTAGATCTTAGAAGTCTTGAACATCAGAGCTTGAATTTTTTCCTAAATGACCTGATTGAATTTCAGAAAGATTTCCTTGGCTGCTATGTGGATTGAATTGAAGGGCTCAAGAGTAGAAAGATTTAGGAGTCCACTGCAATGGTCCAGGCTAGAACTGGTAAGATCTGACACGGGGTAGTGGCCAGGGGATGAGAGGTCAACATTGGCCTTGGACTTGAGGAGGAGTGAAGGGACCAGAAATCTTGGTGAGGGGAACCAACAAAAGAAGACTTACTTGCTCTGTAGCCAGCCAGGGTGTGGGATACTTTGCCCATATCCGGGGGAACAAGAGCAAAGATCCTCCCAGAAAATTCACATCTTGGTCTGAGAGAGAGGGCTTGGCCAGGGTTTAGCTGATTCAGAGTGCTAAAAGGGAAACGGGAGTCAGACTCTTAGGGTACACACAGTCACAGAATGGGGGTGTTAGGCCCCAGTCCCAGATTTCCTGCAGTGGCCACTCAGTCCCTCCCCATTACCTGTGGAGAAGGAAGCTCCCTGTTCCAGCATACCAGCCTCCTCGCCCCCACCCCCAGCCCAGGGGTACAGAAAAGACCAATGGGGAACTCTGGCCACGACAAAGCTACTGGAAGCTCCATGGAGGAGGGGCAGCCCTCCCTCCCCACCCAGATGTACAGAAAAAGAGAGATAAATTTGGAATGTACAAGAGGTGCTGGCAGAGATGGGGGTGTTGGACAAGGCTCTAAGAGAGCAGAGTTTCTGGCAACCTAGCAAACAGGGGTAGAGGTAGCTTCTAGTCCACTTCCCTCCCCTTCCCCATCCCAAGACCAGCTCTTTCTCATGGTTCCTACCATTCCAGCCACTGCTGCCCAACTTCTTGAACCTCTCTTTTTTGTCGTCAGTAGGGGAAGGGGAAACACTTGTTGGCTTAGAATCAGGCCCATTGGGTGGCAGCTTCAGAGACACACATTTCAGTGGCTCCCCAGCCTCGGATATGTATAGGCCGGGGCTGGCCCAGGCTGTTGAAAGATGGGTGAAGACTGGGCAGGAGATTCCAGGCTTCTAGATACAGACTACCAGGTTCAAGTCCAGTCTTGGGTACTAATCTTCTGTGTGACTCAGGCCAGTGCCCTCCTCTCTCACTGTTTTAGCTTGTTCATCTGTGCTTTTGTGATTAACAAGGTCAATGGCAGAGGCCAGATTAGAAACCAGATTGCAAGCCAAGGGCTAGTTTGCTGGGATTTGGCCAGTCAAGGGCACTCTTCCCTTTGGCCCTGTCCCAGCACACAGTGAGTGTTCAGTGGGCATGGTGTGTCCCCTCCTCCATCTAAGCTGCCTGCCCTCAATGCCCTTAACATTTTATTTGACTTCACTTCAGATCTTTTTTTTTTTTTAATTGGCCACACAGCATGGCATGTGGGATCTTAGTTCCCCAGCGACCAGGGATCGAACCCGGGCCCCCTGCAGTGGAAGTGCAGAGTCCTAACCACTGGACCTCCAGGGAATTCCATCAATGCCCTTCTAAAGGGTACTCCTCCTCCATGCCAGATGACTTAGGCCTTCCAGATTACTTTACCCAACCTCAACCCCCATGCCATCTCAGCACACACTACTTGGTCCTGGGGTATAGAACTTTATGCAACTATGGAAGTGTTCTATAATCTGCACTGTCTAATATGTGAGCCACTAGTCACACATGGCTTTTGAACACTTGAAATGTGGCTAGTGTGCCTGAAGAACTGGATTCTTAATGATGTTTAATTTTAATTAATTTTAAAATTAAATTTAAGAAGCGACATGTGGCTAGAGGCTACCCAATAGGGTACAGTATCAGTTTTAGGCAGAGTTTTTCTTTGTTCCTTGTTTAGAATTAAGAGTTGATAGGAGTTACCATTTATTTAACACTCTTTGCCAATTTTTGCATAAGTACTTTACAGACACATCTCAGTGAGTCCTAGAAATTCTATTTTAAAGATGAAGAAACCAAGCCTCGAGAGGTTAGGTCAACTGGCTTCAGACTGCATAGCAAGTGGAGGGCCATTCAAGTGTGAGTCATGCTCTCCAGCCATTTAGGGAAGTTTCCAGGACCCAGCCTGGGTGCCCTCCTTCTACAGTCACTCCACACACAGCCCATGGCTGTGCACCAAGGCCCAGGGAGGCTCATCACTGAATACTGATCAGTAAATGCTCTTGACAAAAAGGAGAGGGAAGCTAATTCCATTTACTCCCCATCTCCTGGCGACTCCTGGCTCCTGACATTCCACTTCAGATGTCTCTTCTCTTGCCTCTCTCCTGGATCACAGTGTCCCTCGGGTCACAAACTCAGAGTTCAACTGGGTGCTACGTGCAGAGGTTTGGGAAGAGGGTGTCACATGCAGGCCCAGAGGAAGCCAGCTGGGCTGGGAGCTGGGGCCTGGAAAAATCCATGTTATTTTTAAACAAGAAAAAAAACCCAAAAACATTATATTAGCTTTTATTGAGCACCTACTTGTGCTAGGCACCTTATATAAATCTGTGCTTATAATTCCCTTAACAACCTGGGAGGTAGCATTATTGTCACCATTTTACATATGAAGACACTGAGGCTCAGTGAGGTTAAGCAGCTTACAGCTTGCAGATGAGTGGTAGAATCATGGGTGAGTGCTCCTAAACTTTCATTAGCATAGCATTCTTCACACTGAGAAAATAGAGGGGGTGGAGGAGTGGGCAAAGAGGTGCATTCTCTAGGGGGTGAGGGACTGATTCTGCTGTCCAAGCCATTAAGGGAAGCTGACCCCTGCCCTGTTTCCCACCTCCCTCATCTGGCAAGCCACTCCTTCCCCAGACTCAGCTGCAAAGTCAGGAGAAACTCACTCTGGCTGAGGTTGCTTTTCTTAGAAAGGGAAAAGAGCTAAAATAAAAGACCTTACCCTGTATGTATATCTGTAGGTGGCGATGTGCGCGGTAGTTTTTGTGCTAAAGCACACCACTACCAGAATAAGAACATCGCTCCCTCCCCCTATTTTTTTCTATTTCTGGCTGCACTCCCACTTGTGGGGTTCCCAGACCAGGGATCGAACCTGTGCCCCCTGCAATGGAAGCACAGAGTCCTAACCACTGGACTGCCAGGGAAGTCCCTAACATCACTCCCTTTTAAGCCACACCTCACGTGTGCAGAGTGAGGCAGCTGAGGAATCTGGAAAGGACTGTTTATTTCCTACTCGAGTCCCAGAGACATCACCTAGGAAGGGACCAAATCAACAATCAAAACCTCAAATTTGCTCCCTGCCCTCTCCCTCCAGGCTTAAGCAGCCTCGGAGGTACTGCACCAAGGACATATGGTGCCCCCCCTTCTCTCTCTCTCTCACACACACACACACACACACACACACACATACATTCTTGAGTTAAGGCATCAAGTCTGGCCTGCATGGCTTTGCAAGTCTTTGCCCATCAGGCAGTGGCCCTGGCCCAGGGCTGAACCATGTGTGTACACAGATGCATAAGTGCGGTGTTAGGAGCTCTTCACAAATGAGGGACAATGATGATGGCCCTGTGCTAAGCCTACTCCACCTGTCCTTTGGGAGGGGACCTTGTCAGTTGGCCAAGTACCTCTGTCTCTTCTCGCCAGCTGGGGTGGGACCAGGTCAGCCACAGGTCAGGCCAGTGCTGGGGACTCAGGACCTGGCTTCCAACACTGAAAATGTGCCCTTTCTAAGTGTGGCTGGGGGCTATTTTGGGACCTTAAAGAGGATCAAGTCACCACCTCAGAAGGACAAAGATGGCCACTCAGGCCAGGATGGAGGGTGAGGTTTCTCTCTGTGCTTTTAAAACCCAACCGTGTTTAACAGTAAGACAGCTGACCTTTTTCCTCTGTGCTCTCTTGCCCCCAGCCCAGGGAAGAGGTTTCTGTAGACTGGAGTGAGTATGGAGAGAAAGAGGGCTGTTAGGATTGTGCACTGGAGTGGGAGGTTGCTTTAGCATCTTCTCCCCTGGACCTACAGGAGCTGGCTCCAGCACATTTACTTCAGTACCCACTTAGTGGGTGGTACAGAGGTGGGGACTTCCTGGGGATACCCGGTGTGGCTGCAATGCAGGGTTAGAGGCCTACATGAAGACTGGGGTTAGGGCTGTGGGGTTTCTGGGTCCTGGGCTGGGTCAGGATGCCCAGATGAAGTAGGCGACCTCGTCCAGGTCAACGGGGTAATCCGTGAGTAGCACTGGCGTCTTGTCGAAAAGCTCACCCTTATAGCTGCGCCACTTGCCTGCGGGCAGGTAGACGTCCCGCTCCTGCTTGCCTGGCTCCAGTACCGGCGCCACAAGCAGCGTGTCTCCGATAAGGAACTGTGAGTCGATGCGGTGCGCCGTCTCGTCGCCGGGCGCGATCCACCAGAGGGGGCGCACGATGGGGTCTCCCGTGTCAGTGACCTCACCAGCCAGCTCAAGCAACAGCGGCGCCACGAGGGAGGCCCTCAGTGCAGTGAACTTGTGCGCGATGGCCACCACTTCGGCGTCGTACCGCCAGGGTGGAACGGAGAACTGCATAGCTGGCATGAAGGCGGCCACTTCCAGCCAGCGCACGTAGAGCTCGCGCTCAGGCACATCGCCGCCTCTCACTGTGCGCTCAGACACAGCATTGCCACCCACCATATCGGGCAGGATGAACGGGTAGCCCAGCATGCTGACAGTGAGCACGGCGGGGATGAGCGAGCGCAGCCCCAGGTCGTAGCCCCACACCGAGTCGCGGTCCACCAGGCGGAAGAAGCACGAGATGTTCTGTGACTGGTAGCCCACACGGACCTCGGCCAGTGAGAAGAAGGGCAGCGCCATCTCTGTGTAGCGCCGGCTCCATATGTTGGGGTCAGACAGCGGCCTGTAGGTGCTGAAATCCCGCGGCAAATAGCTGACCTCTCCAGCGTCGAACTTGAAGGAGGCCACGGCGTAGCGCGAACGCAGTTGCCGCAGATGCCCCTGAAACCAGTCGCGGGCCTCCGGACGCGTGAAGTCGAGCACGGCGCCGATGCCATTCCACCAGCGCACGAGAGCAGGCAGCCGGCCCGTGGGTTCACGCACAAACAGCTCGCGCTCCACGCCTTCGCCAAAGCACGATGAGTTGTAGTTGACAAACGGGTGCACCCAGAGCGTGACGCGAAAGCCAGCGTCGCGCAGGCGGCGGAACATGTCGCTGGCGTTGGGAAACTTGGTCTCGTCGAAGTCGAAGTCGCCATAGGCAGGCGTGTACATGTCGTCGATTTCCAGATGGCTGCTGTTGAAGCGGTGCTGGCGGATCTGCTGAGCGAAACGCTGCACCTTGTCCTGGTCCACCGAGCGCCCGTACAGCACCCACGTGGACCAGATGGGGTCCCGGAAGGCCTCAGGCGCTGGCACCCTCGATGGCTTGTTGAAATAGCGCCGCACCATGTACTTGTGGATGGAAGTGACATCGGAGCCGACGCACACGCGGTAGCTGAGCTCGGGCGCAGCAGCGCGGCCGGCGGGCGGCTTGTAGGGCGTGTCGTGGTAGCGTGCCTGCAGTCGCAGAGAGCGCTCCGTGCTGTTCCAGCCCAGGTGGAAGGGCACTGAGTCGTTGACCTTGATGGCAGCCGCGCGCGACGACAGCCAGTAGCGCTCGAGGATGCCTCCAAATGCGGCGTCGGAGGAGTAGACGTCGCTGGTGACGAAGGGCTGAGGCTCCTGCTGGCCGTCCAGGCGGATGGGCCAGTGCTGGGTCTTCATCTCCGCGCCGCCGTACCAGTGTGCCCCCGCGTCGCCCAGGAACATGGCGTGCTCCACCGCGTGCCCCGGCGCCGCCTCCTCCCAGCGCACGCGGTAGCACATGACCGTGTCCTTGGGCCGCACAGTCTGGATGAAGAAGTGCAGCGGGCGCCCATCCGCTGTGCGAGAGCAGCTAAGCCGGGCGCCATCGCGGCTGCAGGAATCGAGGTCCAATGCGCCCGAGCGGAAGGCCAGGCGGAAGACCTGCTCGCCCTTCTGGTTGCGAATGGAGAAGCCGCCGCGGTTGAGGTCCAGCAGCTCAGCGCGCAGGCGTTCCGCCTTGCGTAGAGAGGCGGTGTAATAGCACCAGGCCACCACCGCGGCCAACACCAGTAGCAGCCCCAGCACTGCGGAGCCCAGCAGCGGCTTCAGCTCTTTGGACGGCTTGGGCTTGGTAGGCGAGAAGCTGTCAGGCAAGAAGGTGTACATGGTTGCAGCTGCGACGGCCTCGGGGCTCTTACGACCTGTGTGGCTCCCAGGGCGGCGGCGGGGGTAGGCCTGGCTCTTTTCCTGAAGATTCTGGGACATCAGCCCCCAGTTAGGGAAGGAGCAGGCAGTGGGGCCACCAGACACAAGCCCATCTGAACTTGGCCTGCCTGAGTCAGGAAGGGGAAGAGAGAGGTGGAACTGAGCTTTCTCATTCCATAGTATTTACATTTGCTGCCGCAAGAAAGAAGTGTATATTTCGGGAAAGTGTATACTGGGACGTAAGGGCTTTACGCTTACCAGGTCGTTCTGTCTGCATTTTACCTACCCTTTCTCATGGGCCCCACTGCTTGTCAAAATTAGGACGCTGAAGGGGAGGGGCAGATAATATTCATCACCATTTTCCTGGTGGAGGAACAAACACAGACAGGGTCAGGGAGCTGTCCAGGATCACAGAATTAATCAGGTCTCCTTGGATCACACATGGGGGCAGTTCAGGCTGAAGAGAAGGGGAGGAATCTGGAGAGGGCCTGGTTTCCCAGAGATGTGGCCATCGTGGGAGAGGGGGGATAAGCAAGCCAGCTCCTTAAGACCTTTGACACAGCAGGAGGCTGGCTTCCCCGTGCGGGGAGTGGGAGAGGAGAGAGGAAGGGGAACAGTTCAGGCATGGAATTTAATCTTGAGTCAGAAGCCATATTAAATCTGGAGATTAGAGAAGATACTCAAAGCGAGACTCAGTCCAAGGGCCTGGTTTGGAGGGGGGACGAGGTTGGGTTTGGACTTTAGGACTGGGGTCAGGAGCCTAGCATGGGGGCTTGGTGGCTTCTCACATTTCCCTCTCTTTGCTCTCAAACTCCATTCTGCTCTCAGCCATCAGGATCACCAAGTCTATTTCCCTGCCCACCTTCCTGCTCTGCTCCCAGCACCACATCTGTGGGCCAGCTACCTTCTGGCTTTGTCTCTAGCACTCACCCACTGTCCTGTTTGCCCCTACCCTAGTTAGAGCACTGTCATTTCTCCCCTGTATCGTTGCAACACTTCCCTGATAGGCCTCCCTGCTTTCAACTTGTTTTCCTCCAATGCCTTCTGCTCACAGCAACTATAGTGATCTTTCTAAAACACTTATCAGATTACATCTCTCCCTAGTTTAGGGAGCTGCTCATGACCCCCATGATGAAGTTCAGAAGTGTAAGCTTTGCAAATTGAAGTTCAAGGCAAACATGGTCTCATCTGTCCTTCTGATTCCATTTTCAGCCAAGCCTATCCTATGACTACCAAGCTCTGTTCTTTCCTAACCTCAGTCCTCAGCCACCTGCTTTAGGAAATTTCACCCACCCATCTTGGGCCAACTTCTCTCCCCCACCTACCAGCTCTCTGGCAATCAGACACCCCCTACTACACAATCCACTCTTATATACTGTATGCTAAAGATTCAGATATGACTACAGAGAAACACAGACTTGGGAGGAGGTGTGTGTCCAAACCTGCTGTTCAAGGCTACTGACCCTTCCTGTCTCAGCCCTCAGGGCAGAGTCCAGCAAAGAAATAGCACCAGCAACGTGCATACACAGACATACACTGCCAGCCTGTCAGCTGCCCATCTGCTCCAGCTGGAGGGAAGGAGAGAGGGAGATTGGCAAACAGTAATTAGACTCCTCCCAGATGCCAGTCCCCAGCAATTTCCAAGGAGACACCAGAATTGCTCAGCGTTCTCACTTCCCCCACCTCTCCCATGAAGAGATTATCAAGAATGCCAGGTGCCAGGTGCAGATTGGAATTTTTATCCCAGATGTCAACATACAGCTCCCCATAATGCCCCCCCCACCCCAGTGAGGTTCTATCTCAGTGCCTTATTCTCTGAGCTCCCTCCCCCAACTCCCTAAACTGGTCAGTTCCAGCTGGTCTAGAACAGCCTCTTATTCCCTTCCTCTCATCCCATACAACTTAGCCTTCAAAATTCCCCCAACCTACTATGGACTTCCCTTCCTGTAGGTATAGGCTGGAAAAGCCTTCCTGGAAAATGCAGGCATAGCCTTTAGCTGATGCCCTTAAGCTAAGCAGGACCCAAAGAAGGCCTTAGGTGGCCCAGGCCAGACCTGCTGTACATTTATATTCAATTCATTCGAGACAACCAAGGCCCCATTCTGGGCACTAAGGGAATAGGGAGAAAGGGTCCATATCTGAGTAGGACAGAGATTGCTCATCCTCAAAACTTTCATATTAAGTCAGTCTATCTCATGACCCCTGGAGGCATGGCCAGCCCACCAAGGTGACCTCAAAAGCCTTTTCAAACACTTAGGTCTTGAGAATTTTTACTTTCTAGGGTTCTGAGGTTCTTTGATGAAGGACAAAAACCCAGAGGCCCTCTGTTGGTCTCCCTAATGCCACCATGGCATCCAACCCTAACAATAATGCTGAATAGGAGGCACAGCTGCAGTGCCCATTTTATAGATGAGGAAACAGTGGCCCAAACAGAAAAAGGAACTTGTTTGAAGTCACTTAGGTAGCAGGGTTGCCTGAATCCAAAATCCCAGCTTAACCCTGACAGGGAGCTAATGGTCTGACTGGCTATCTGAATGCAGGAGAGAAAAGGAGCTTTGTGGCCAAGAGGGTGGGACAGGCTTCCATCAGGGGGCTGTGGGCATGGTGAGGCCTGTATTCCCAAGGGCTGGTGCTGCTACTTGCCCCAGGAAGGCTTCTTGGGGATGGGAAGTGGCGATTTTAATAGCATCTGGTACAGGGGCTGTGGGGGAGGAAGTGTGGTTCTGGTGTTAACGGTGGCGCTAGAGACCCCTGTAATCTGCCGCCTCCACCATCTGGCCAGCCACAGGCTAACGCTGGCAGGTAGGGTTTGCCCTAGCCAAGCCTCTCCCCACTTGACAGTCAACCTCAGTGTTGGCTTCCAGCCCCTAGCCATGTCTAAGGGGGAGGGTCGGGCCTAGCCAACTAGGCCATTCCACGTTGGGTCCTTTGTCCAACACAATTCCCAGGGGTAGGGTGGGGGGTGGAAATGCCAAAGGCAACTCTATCCGGGCCCTCTCCCCGTCCTGCCCAGCGAGCGGATCCGGGGGTATAGAGTGACTGAGCCTACAGCCTGGAATACTCTACACCCACTCCCAGCGCTGCAGCTATAATGTCCGAAAAGGACAGACTGAGGTCAAGAGGGCGGTCGCCCGCTGGGAACCGCGGCCGAAGAAGGGGCCCAGGTGTCCAGGCTCGCCCCACCTACTCATCTGTAGGAGCGAAAGTTCAGGAAATATTTTCCGTCAGCAACCCCCCAAGGTCTTCCCGCTGGGCGCACTCACGTAAGTGACCCCAGAAGTGGGGGTGAAGGGAGGCTCCTGCAGATCCCCTCCAAGTTAGCCGAAGTTGAGCTGCCACGGTGCGGCGCGGGGCGCTGCCTAGCTGGGAACAGCTGAGGCCGTCCTGGAGCCCCGCCCCCTGGCTGCTCGGCCACGCCTCAGTCATTCGGTCTCGTCAAGTCTCGGAGTCCAGCTCCGCCCCTGGCGCCCGACCATCCTCCCACATTGTCACGCGCACTTGAGGTCACGCCCCTTACCTCCTACCTTCCTCTTCTGTTCTGTGCCCAGCTCCTGGCAGCTCAGACCCACCGCCAGCCCGGTGCCTCCCGGTTCCGCCCCCCGCGTGCAGGCCCGCCCCCTCTGGACCATTGCTTACCCGCACGCGGGCGGGGCTCTTCCCCAGGTCTGCTGGGAACTGTAGTTCTGGAGGGAGGTGCAGCTGTCGAATGTTAGGGTTCTCGCACCTGTCGACTAAATTTGGGATGTGTATGAGAAGGAGCGAGCCGCAGGGTAAAGGGACAGAGTTGGCCCTTGGGATTCCTTTTCCTCCAGATTTGGGGAGGTTGAGGCCGTCTCGGTATAACGCTCTCATTAGCTCTTTTCCCATATGGAAAAAGGGTAGCGGAATTCTGGGAGGATCTCAGCGGTTCAGTGCAGGTCGGATCCAATCAAGGACCCCACGGAGTGGAGCCTAGTTCCATCAGCCGGGAGGCCCAAGCTGTCAGCTCCCACCGGATCAGACCAGCAGTGCCTGAGATTAGGGACTGAGAAGACCGGATTCTGCTCCGTATTTTGCAGTCTTCCCCCACCCACTCCCCTTGGTGGCAGCCCTGCTGCGAGGAGGTGGGCGTGCCCCGCTATACACCTGCACCCAGGAGGAATGGGGTGCAAAAATACTGAAGATCCTAGAGGCTCCAGAACACCCCACCGCTTGCTCCCTGAGGGACAGAGAAACAGGGCTTTTTTTTTTTTTTTTTTTTTTTTGCTGCGTTGGGTCTTCATTGCAGCACGTGGGCTTTCTCTAGTTGCAGCGAGTGGGGGCTACTCTTCGTTGCGGTGTGCGGGCTTCTCATTGCGGTGGCTTCTCGTGTTGCGGAGCACAGGCTCTAGGCACGCGGGCTTCAGTAGTTGTGGCGCACGGGCTTAGTTGCTCTGTGGCATGTGGGATCTTCCTGGACCAGCGATTGAACTCATGTCCCCTGCATTGGCAGGCGGATTCTTAACCACTCAGCCACCAGGGAAGTCCCCCAGGGCTTTGTTTTATTTTGTTTGTTTGTTTTTTAATTTTTTAATTTAATTTTATTTATTTTTTTATACAACAGGTTCTTATTAGTCATCAATTTTATACACATCAGTGTATACATGTCAATCCCAATTGCCCAATTCATCACACCACCATCCCCACCCCCCCACGGCTTTTCCCCCTTGGTGTCCATACGTTTGTTCTCTACATCTGTGTCTCAACTTCTGCCCTGCAAACCGGTTCATCTGTACCATTTTTCTAGGTTCCACATACATGCGTTAATATACAATATTTGTTTTTCTCTTTCTGACTTACTTCACTCTGTATGACAGTCTCTAGATCCATCCACGTCTCAACAAATGACTCACCTTCGTTCCTTTTTATGGCTGAGTAATATTCCATTGTATATATGTACCACAACTTCTTTATCCACTCATCTGTCGATGGGCATTTAGGTTGCTTCCATGACCTGGCTATTGTAAATAGTGCTGCAATGAACACTGGGGTGCATGTGTCTTTTTGAATTATGGTTTTCTCTGGGTATATGCCCAGTAGTGGGATTGCTGGGTCATATGGTAGTTCTATTTTTCGTTTTTTAAGGAACCTCCATACTGTTCTCCATAGTGGCTGTATCAATTTACATTCCCACCAACAGTGCAAAAGCATTCCCTTTTCTCCACACCCTCTCCAGCATTTGTTGTTTGTAGACTTTCTGATGATGCAGGGCTTTGTTTTGTAATTTGAAATTTCTTGATCATGAAACCCTCCAAAATTATTTTGGACCTCTTGGACTTGGGTGGGGGAGGGCAGCAAGGGTATCTGAACATGGACTTCGGAGTCGCTGTGATGGAGACTCTGGGAACAGAGATCAAGAGCTTTGAGTATAGGGACGTGGCTCTGACTGCAGGATGGGCGATTCTGGGTCCACTGAGATAATGGGGGTGAAGGGACATCTAGGTTTGGGGGATATTGGGGAAATGGCAGCTGTGGGGCCCTCATAGGATGGGAGGTAGATGGGCCCTCCTGCGTGGCTAGGTGGGCCCATTGGTTTGGGCTCTGGGATGGAAAGGAGGAGGTCATGCCTCTCATAGGGCTACTGCCATGCGTCAGGAGGGCACTCAGGGCCACCCAAGGGAAGTACTGAGATGATGGAGTGGGGAGGGCTCAGGGCAAGATGACTTTGAGAAACTGTATCTCAGTTGAGGGGGCTTGGCAGAGGCCTGAGTGACTGGCTCCTCATTGCCAGATCCTGCTGGGTAAGGACACGAGAGGCAGCCTTTAGGATGAAGAATTTATTTATTGTTCAGCCCCCTTGGACCGGCCAGCCCGGGCTCTACCGGCGATGGTAGTCAGGATAGGTCTCAGACACAAACTCAGGGTGGACGACGTAGTTGTTTCTCTGGGGGCCACCGGTCTTCTTGAAGTGACTTGTGTCCCATCTGTGGTGAGAGATGGGTCAGCCCTTTTGGACCCTCATACGTCTGACTCCAATTCTCAATGCTAATCTTATCCCAACATTTTGTCCCGAATAATGGCCCTAGGCTCCAACACTGACCTCTTGACCTCAGGTTCTACCGTTAAATTTTTGACTCCCAATACCCGCTCCCTAACACTGACTTTTTACACTTTAATTCAAGCCCTGAACCTAACGCCCTGATCTCTTGACTCTAAGCCCCACTGCCAACATGTAAACCCTCAATGCCACCTCCATGCCTTCTCATTTAGTTGCCAGCTTTGACTTCCCCATGGCACCATCGCCCCCTGGTGTCATCTTCCAGTCGGTGCATCGCAGCGGTCAGTTATCCCAACTAGTCCCTGGGTCCCCCGCCATGCCAAGGTTACAGCTTCTGTGTGGGTGCGCATTTGCATGTGTGAGCGCCAGATTTACCTAAGGTTCGGACAAGGGTAGTATGACGGCGGGGGAGTTATAACAGCACATTGCATTCCCGGCCGGTGCTTGCAGGGCGATACACTCCTGGAGAAGGAAGCAGTGGGCAGGAATGGGTCGGGCCTTTTGACTTCCCTCTACGCCCCAACCCAGACCAAGACTCTGAGCTGCACTTCAGGTGTCAGTCCTACTGCTCGGAGATCCTCCTTTCAGGCCTCCTGTCCCTTCAAGACCTCGAAACGTCGCCTCTGGGAAGACACCTGAAGTCCCTCTCCCCCTAAGGCCTCGTTTCTGCCGCCCAGGCTGGGCGGCGGAGAACGCTGTACTCTGGGGAGGGTTGGGGTACAGTCATTGAGGACCTGGGAGCCCCCGGATCCTCAACATGGGACAGCAATTACTCCAGCTTATCGACGAGGCGACGTTTCTGAGGCTTAGGCACTTTCTCGCTCCTCCACGCCCTTGTGAGGGATAAGACCCAGTTTCGCACAATGAATCAGTCTCTCTCAGCCTGGGGAGGGACGGGGTATCACCACGGGGTTAGGGACAGGGTTCAGGATCTCCCTCCCCCTTTCACAGCTCTCTAGACAGACGCGGACATTGGAGTTCTCCCAGGCTCAGCCAGCCTTGTCTAACGCCAAGTGCAGGGAAAAGGCCGCGTTGCAGTCTGGGCTTCTGCTGAGCGCTCGAGCTTCAGTTTCCTCCACAATAACACGCGAGGCTGTCTACCTCCAGAGGTGGTGCGGGGCTCCGAGGAGGCCAGGGCCCTTCTGGTAGTGCGGTCACCACTTCCTTGCCTTCTTAGAACCCAGCGATGACCCTGCCCATTACCAACGGTGACCCGAGGCCCAGGAATAGGGGACACTGTTCTGAGAACACATGGCACTCCGCAAACTAGAACCTGCGTCTCCAGGGTCGGGTGACCAGGTAGGGGGCGAGGCCGGCGGGTGTGGAAGGGGGAGCAAACTGGTGTGCGGAGTTTGTTCCTCAAAGAAACCCTCGGGCATAGCCTCCAGAAAACGTACAGGAGCCAGGTTGACCTTGAGCCCAGTTCAGGAGGGATAGGATCAGGAACTCGGGTATCTCCGTGCAGGTTCTCCCGCCTCAGCCGTACGTTCAGGCCGTGAGGCCCCAGGGCGGGACAGGGAGGCGCCAGTAAGCGGACCGCGCGGGCTGGAGGCGGAGTGAGGTCTGGCACAGAGGCAGGTCAGAGCTATAAGTGGTTGGGGATGGAGCGTCCGCAGCTGGGGTAGGGGGGACTCTGGGGGCGGGGCTTGCTTGGGGGCGGGGCCCGGCTACTGCGCGCGCGGCCCTGCGAACCTTGCAGTCGGCCGCTCCGTGCGCAAAAGCCGCAGGCGACGTTCGGTGCATGGTGGCCCGGCGACGCAGTGGTCCATGCCGCGCAGACAGTAGTGGCGGCCCGAGCAAGCGCTTTCATAACCCTGGAAGGGCAGGCGGCCCGGCAGCGGGTCCACACACCCGCAGCGGGGCGTGATCTCTGGCAGCGGCTGGTTCCGTGACAGCGAGTTCAGCATGTTCACCACTACCTCGCGCTCTGCGCCCGCGGGCCCCGAGCCCGGGAGACCCAGACACAGAGTCACAGGAATGGGAAGAGACAAGTTCAGAGACAGGAAGAGATGGAGACACAAACAGAGACAAGGTTACAGCCTCTCCAGAGCCCTCGGCCTCCGCCCCGTACCTCGGGTCTCCATCCCTCCGTCCTTCTGGCCTACCCATTTCCCTCCACTGTCCCACCATCCGTTACCGTAGGCGTTGAGTCGCTCCGGCTTAGGAGGGTACACCAAGGGCATTCCTCGAACTACTGTCTCCATCCCGGCCTCCTGGAAGTGGCACACACGCTGCCTCAAGCTCTGACCCGGAAGAGTTCCTCCTTTGGGGGTTCTCCCAGAACACGCAGACTAGTCCCAGGCCGCGCCTTCTCCCGCCCTCCGGAAGCTCCCCTACTCTCCCACGTTCTGAGTGTTTGGGGTTGTCGCTGGGCAACGCGGTTTACTCCGCCTCCCAGGTGGTGGGGGTGGGGGAAGTGGAGCTGTAGGTGGACCAGGTCTGGACCTGCACCTCTGATATCCCTGTCTCACCGTTTGCCTCTGATTTTACCCTTCTTTGTCTAGCCGACTCTGTGTAGCTGTGTCTTCGTGTCTCTCTAATAGGGATTTTTCAATATTGCAGTGTTGCCTGCCCATCAGAATCACTTGGGGAACTTATGAAAAATTCTGATTCTGATTCTTGAAGTTCTGATTCAGAAGGGTTCGGTCAACCTGAGGTCGGCCATCAACCTACAGTTAAGAGCCCCTATTCTTGCCTGGTATCCTTACATCTTCCCTCTTTCTTCATGCCTGGGGCTGTGGCTGGACTCCTTCCTATCTCTTTGGAAGACTCTCCTGTATCTATCTGCTCTGCCTCTGGATGGCCTTGTTCTCCCTCCTTTGTCCTTGCTCGCATCACAAAGGAGGGGAGAGAGGAGCAGGTAGACTCAGCCTATCAATGACTTCTTGGCCAGACCATGTGGGAAGGCGCCAGGTGGCAAGCTTCAGGAAGGTAGCGCCTCAAGGAGTGCGCACCAGCCATGTCTCCACAGAGCCTAGCCAGAGATTGGGACCCAGAGGCCCAGCACAGCTTCACTCCTGAGCTCCCTTGTTTCCTAGAAAATATAAACCCTAGTCTCACAAATTGGAAAAGGCCTTGGAGCATTGTTGGTGGGAAAGGGATGAGAAACTAATGGTGAAATATCAGACACTGTGTTTTGGGAGGCAGATGGGGGGTGGGGGGTGGTCCCAGGCCCCAGGCATCTTTGCTGGGCACAGTAGATACCTTAGGCAGCCGAGGAAGGTATGTGGCACATTTGTTCCAGCCCGTACAGTTGTAAGGTCCCATCTTCCATGTATTATACCGGTTACCGCACAGGTGGTTTGGGTTGCATTTGTCTGCTTGATCATAGGGGTGGAGACGTAAGACAGTATTACTCCTTATTCTGCCCCAGGATCTGGGACCCCTTAGATGTTTTTCCTCTGATCCCCAGCACAAAGCTGGACTCTCACTCATCTCCCTTAGGCCAGAAAAGCCCAGCCTGGCCCCATACTTGTCTTAGACACTGAGATGCAGCCTATATCCCACCTAAGACAAGCTTCTGAGTGGAGCCTGGGTCCTTTGAGCTGATCACTTTTCATCCTGGCACCACCCTCTCTGAATCAGCCAACCTGGAAACCCTGGAAATGGGCCTTCTCCCAAATCCTCCCTCTCATCTTCCACATCCAGGCTCAAAGTTTGCTTATTCTGCCTCCTTAAAATCACTCGACTCTATTCTTTCTTCCAGTCCCCCATGATATCACTCCTGTATCTCTGCAGTGCCTAAACCAGGAGACAAGAATGTCACGGTTAATAGGATGGACTCTGTAGACCGACTCCTATGGTTCAAATTTCAGCTCTGCCAGATATTAACTGTGTGTGACCTTGATCTGGTTAATTAATTTCACCTTGTCTCTGTTTCCTTAATTTTGAAATGGGGGTAATAATACTATCTACCCCATAGGGTCGTTGTGAGATTTAAATAAGTTATTATATGTAAAACATTTAGAACAATGCCTGGCACAGAGAAAACTATCATCATCATCTCATCACCATTATTATTATTGCTTTTATTATTGTTATTAGCCTACTGGTCTTCCTGCCTCATTCTGAAATCCTACAATCTGATCTCTACATAGAAACTGTGGCACTTACGATAAATGAGAATCTGACCAAGACAGTTCTCTACTTAAAACCCTCCAAAGCCCCACCCATCCAGTCACCTAAGTGTCCTGTAAGTTCCTCTCTGATCCACCACTCTAACAGTGTGAAAGAATACATGTGAGAGATTAGGAAAAGAGTTCTAGGAGCCCTGGAGTAAGAGCAGGTGCGTGCATGTGTGGGACAGTGTGTTGGGACTTGGAGTTCTAGGTTGGTGGGTTGGACATACTGAGTTTGAAGTGTTTGGGGCCATTCCGGTAAATTTGATCATAATCAGATAAAGGAAAGTGGAATCCTGGTAAGAGGACAAGACTAGAAATAGACACTTAGAGTTGTCAGTGATTAAAGATGTGGGTTAGGTTAAACGGTCTCAGGAGAGGAATCAGGAGAGAGGAGGGTCCGATCAGCATCCCAAGGAACCCCATGTTTCCAGAATGATTAAACAAGAGACCCAGGAATTGAGGCATCAGAGAAGCTGAGGAAGGAAAGAGTTTCACAGAGGAGAGAGTGGTCAGAGTGAAATACATAGGGTAGGTCTCATGAGGAAAAGACTGAAGAGTCCCATGGATGAGGTAATTAGAACCATACAAGATCAGTTTTAATAAACATTAAACATGAGTGTAGGAGATGCAGACTCCCAATTTCAATTGAAGATTAATCATCAATTCATTCAATAAATACTTATGAAGCCTGCTGCTATTCTAGGTGGAGGGGGCACAGCTCTAAATAAAACAAGACTCTGTTCTTTTGGAATGTACAGGAAGACATAATAAACCCCTAACCAAATGAGAAAGATAATTTCTCATAAGGCATAAGGAGTGAGGAAGTAGAGACATAGACTCTATTTCCAAGAATCTTGGTTGTGAAGGGGAGGAGCGAGAGAGAATTTTTAGACAGGAGGAAATTAGAAAAGGCTTCCAGGTTGAGGGGAGAGAGATGTGGTGAGGCAGAGGGATGCAGGAGAGAAGGGAACCTGATGGAGCAGGGTCACTAAGAAGATGGGAGGAGTTAGCACTGGAATACACATGGAGGAATTTATTTGGAGGAGGTTAATGCTCCCTCCCTCTCTCTAGGGATAAGGCCCAGGCCTCTTCCAATTCTTTGGCATAGACTGGGAGCTCCTAAAAGGCAGAGCCTGGATCTCCTCCTCCAGGGTCAGGGGTCAGGATCAAGGTCAGGCCAGATGGTTGGGAATCAAGCTGGAATGGGGGTAATTAGAGAAGAAGCCCTGGTCGAGGATGGGGATAAGATTTGTATAGGATCAGGGTGGAGGTCAGAAGTCAAGTTGGGTTCAGGTGTAGGGTCTTTGTTGGGGTCACTGAATGGGGTCACAGTTGGGTGATGGGTGAGGCCCTACCTTCCTCTTGAGACAGCCAGTATTTCTCAGGCAAGTAGGGGTGGCCTGGTATGGAACTCTTATAGCTGTAGTCCTGCACAGCACACTTGACCGTCTTCTGCTGGGCTTCAGGATCCACGTGGCGCTGCACAGTCTGAGTCAGGCCCTGGCAAGGAGAGAGGGGAGGAGATGGCTAGGTGCATGGAGACCCCAGCCTTGGTATCCAGCTGGACCTAGATTTAGGCCCTATTGAGGTCAGCCCAGGTGGGTCTCCCAACCCTCTCCCTATGCCAGAGGGATCCCCAGGCCAGCCTTGGTTCCCTCTGCATAGTTCTTTTGCTTGAATCACCCTTTTCTCCTTTTCTTCCATCCAAGGCTCGGACCTGGAACCCAACATTTTCCTTCAGTCAGAGTGGTTTTCTGATGTTCTTCTCATTTCTGTCCTTTCCTTGACTGGGACCTATAAGGGCAGAGCTGGGTGTTCCTGTCCTCTTTCTTCCAGACTGTGTGCTGCCTGGGAGCAGGGCCTGGGTCTTCCCCAACAGAGCAACAGGCCCGTGGAACAACCTCAGGAAAGGCTGGCTGCCCTGGGAGCTGGCTACCTTAGGCAGGTGTTTTGGACAGGAAGGGCTCTCTGTGAATCTGGCACCTTGAAGGAGATGAAGGATGGGACCAGAGGGGCACCTACTTTAAAATCTAATTCTCTGACTCCAACCTGACCCTAATTGTGCTGTGGCTCTCATCGTGACACCAATATTACCCTTGACCCTGACATTTACGTTGTGCTGGTCCACATCCTATCCTGATTTTTTCCCTGATCTTGATTCAGGCTCTGGGCCCCTCTGCTTCTTGGGGTTCACCTCATCTTATCCCAACACCCCTTGTTTGGCTGGGTCTGTAGAAGCCCAGATCAAGGGCCCCCTTGTCCTCAGCTAAAGGCACATTGCCAAGTTAGTTGTGGGCCCATGTCTCTGTAGGCAGCTGGGATGAAAAGGCAGCTGGGTTACAGGGGTGGGACACCCAGCAAAGTCAGACACCAGAAAGGACTTTCTCATCATAGTGGGCAGCAAGGTGCTGGGATGATGCTGTTGCACTGCATTTCACCCCTATGATCTGAAGAGCAGAGGCTTCTCTTGGCCTGAGATAAGACCTTGCTGCTTCTAGTGCTCCTATTCCCCTGAAAACCCCTCAGCTGAGGGGCTTCTTTGATCCTCCGTGCCCAGCTGAGGTTTTGTTCTGTGGGCAGATCCTACACAGTCATACTCCATATGGGTGGAGGGGCCCCATGACTTAGCACTCCCCTGAGTTTTACATACACACAAACACATGCACATCCAGACATACACATAGATCTGTGAGCCCAGATACACACATAGACAGATGTACATCTATACATACACATTCAGACACGCTCACACACACACACACACACACACACACACACAAATAATCATTTAGAAGAACTCACAGACTCTTCAGTGTTTCCATTCGAGGCTTTCCTCAGATGTCTGTAATCTTTGACTGTCTGCTCATGTTTATGAGTAGGAGACTAAAAAGGCTCATTGGAGGCTTTGAGCTGTGGGTGGGCATCATTGTAGGATGCTCTGGCTAGACTATTTGTTGCAAACTCTGTCAGTATCTGTAGGTCTTTTCTCTTGGGCTGATCAGATCCCTCGGAAGAGACTCTTTCAGTCTTTGGCTTGAGAGTAGTGACCTAGCTGCCATTGTTCTGAGAACCTAGTGGAGAAGAGGGCTGCTGGGGGTTTAGCATTCAGCATATGGAGGTTCATCTGTTTTCAGTATGGTACCCTGACCTTAACTGGAATCTACAGTCCTGAGATCCTTACCAAAAAATAAGCCTTCTGACTTTTGCAGAGATGGGTGAGCAGTCACCCTACGGCATGGAATAGAAGAGGGGGTTTAATTGCTTCTTAGCTTTCAAATCATTATTGTTCCAGCCTTGGTCCTGTCCCATCTTCTGTTCCAGAGAAACCTAGTATTACCAATTTCTGAGCTTTTTAAAAATTCTGCAGTTTTAAGTTGAATTATGTCTTGTGTTTCCCACTGCTGGCTTTGGATTCAGCTTTCTCAGATCTGCTGTGTCAGTTACTACTTATCTATCACAGTTTCCAGCTTCTGAAATTTTGTTGTCATTGTCCTTCCTTCTCACTATTCTTGCAAATTTATGTCTTAAGTATGCATTTATTGTAGTTTTTGAGGGGTTTTAGGAAGGAGTCAAAACGTGTTCATTTTAACCCAGAGAATTACAGTTCTTTATATAGTCTACATATTCCTTTGTCAGTTACATGTTGCAATTATCATCTCTCAGTTTGTGGCTTGTAACTTCATTTTCTTTTTGGTGTCTTTTGATGAACATAAGTTCTTAATTTTAACATAGTTGAATTTATTCATCTCTTATGTAGTGCTTTTGTGGCTTAGGAAATCCATCCATAATCTAAGATAATGGAGAGAATGTCATAATTTTTTCTAAAATTATACAATTTTACTTTCCATATTTATGCCTTAATCTGTCAGGAATTTGTTTTGGGGTTTGGTGTGAATTAGGGGATCAATTTAATTTTTATCCACATGGATAACCAGTTGTCTCATTGAGTAATCTATCTTCTCCCACAGATTTGTAATGCCACCCCAAGCCTGAAACATCTTTTCCCATAGCTTTACTTTCAGTCATCTCTGTTGTATATCGTTTCCATATATGTGTGGCTCCATTTCTGGTCTGTTTTATTCCATTAATCAATTTGTGTATCCCTACAGTAATATTATGCTTTATGAATTTCTATAGCTTGGTAATAAATATTAATATCTGACTGGGCAAGTCCCCTTCTTCTTCAGGTGTGTTTTAGCTAGTTCTTGGGCCTTCGCTCTTCTCTATAAATTTTAGAGACAGCTTGTCAAATTCTTCAAAAACTCCTGTTGAGATTTTAATCAGAATTGCATGGAATCTTTATGTTAGTGACTCTTCCTATTCATGAGCATGTTATGCCTCTTCATTTAAGTATTTTTTTAAAGTATTCAAAGTTTTATAATACTATCCATACAGTTTTGCACACATTGTTAGATTTATTTCTACTTACTCTCACTCTTTGTTGCTAAAATGATATATATATTTTAAGATTATGCTTCCTAAATATGCTTTTTATCTTAAATTCATCCAACTTTCTAAATTCTCTTATTCTAATAATTTGTAGATTCTATAAACACAATGTATCATCTGTGAATAATGACAGTTTTTGTAAAAATTCCTTTCCTATCCTTGTACCTTACATGATATTGTTTTCTAATATACAATTTACATGATATTGTTTTCTAATATTTTGGTTCTTTCTTTAAATTTTACAAGTTAAAAATTATTATAATTATTTTCTATGGACAATGTTTGTTTAAATTTATCTGTTTACCAGTTTCTTAGCTCACTATTCCTTCTTGCATCTCAGACCTTCCTTTTGTTATCATTTTCCTTCTCCCCAAAGTGTATCCTTTAGAAGTTCCTTTATTATAAGTCTTTTAAATTTTTTTATTTATTTTTGGCTGTGTTGTGTCTTTGTTGCTGTGCGTGGGCTTTCTCTAGTTGAGGCGAGCGGGGGCTACTGTTCGTTGCGGTGCACGGGCTTCTCATTGCAGTGGCTTCTCTTGTTGCGGAGCACGGGCTCTAGGCGCGAGGGCTTCAGCAGTTGCAGCACGTGGGCTCCGTAGTTGTGGCTCGTGGGCTGTAGAGCGCAGGCTCAGTGGTTGCGGTGCACGGGCTTAGCCGCTCAGCAGTGTGTGGGATCTTCCCAGACCAGGGCTCGAACCTGTGTCCCCTGCATTGGCAGGCGGGCTCTTAACCACTGTGCCACCAGGGAAGCCCCCTATTATATGTCTTATTGTAGTAAATATTTTAGTTTTTGTCTGTGTCTTTAGCTTTCTTTTGTTCTTGAAAGGAAGACACATTGAAAATAATTTCTCTCTGCATGTTTTTAAGGTCATCTCTTAAGCTGGTATTGTGCAGTTTCACGTGTTACCTAAGAATCTATGGATTCATTTCTCTTGTTAGTTGTTGAAAATCAAGAGCCTTTGTCTCTTCAGATAATGACTACTCTCCTTTCTGCTCTTTCCTTCTGGAACCCCGAGTAGTTGTGTGGGATCTTCTCTTTCTTTCATATTGCTTAATGTTTCTTCCGTATTTTCTATAGCTCTCTGTCTGTGCTGCATTCTGGGAAATTTCTTTTGCTCTGTTTTTTTTTTTTTTCCACACTGCACAGCTTGTGGGATCTTAGTTCTCCAACGAGGGATGGAACCCGTGCCCCCTGCACTGAAAGCATGGAGTCTTAACCACTGGACCACCAGGGAAGTCCCCCTGCTCTGTTTTTCATTTCACTGATGTTCTTAAGCTGTGTCTAATTTGCTCCTTAATCCATCCATTGAGTTTTGGTTTTGTTTTTTTTAAAATTTTTTTTGAGTTTTGGTTTTAACACATATATCTTTTATTTCTAAAATTTCGTTTCTTTAAAAAATCTGTCCATTCTTTTAAAAATATAATCTCTTGTTGCATCCTCATTTTGATGAGTTCACATTTTGCTCAGAAAAATTCATAATTATTTTGTGTTCTTTAACTATTATTTCCAATATCTGACATCCTTGGAGGTTTAAGTCTGCTGTTTGTTGTTTCTGTTGACTGTCATATGGTGGTTTGTTTCCTTACGTCTTTTATTGTGAGCTCAGATCTGACTGACCATACTCTAAGGATACCTGGAAACCTACATTGAGGATATTTTCCACCATAGAAGATATACATTCATCGTGTGTGTGTGTGTGTGTGTGTGTGTGTGTGTGTGTGTGTGTGTTGGGGTAGCGGGGAGGAAGGGAGCCAGAGATCACTGGACTTTCTGGTTCAGTTGCTCCACCTTTCAGCTAGCTTAAGGCTTAAACTCCTGCTTGTAGTACTAATAGTGGCGTTTGTCCTCGGGGCAATCCTGTCTTCTTAGTATACTTACTACTCATCTCCACTGACAGTCCAAAACAAAATGAAAATTAATTTTTATGCAGGACCTAGTTGTTTGGAAGCAGGAGGGCCCTTCAGAGTTTCTAGACCACCACACTGCCAGAAGCGGAAGCCTTTTCCTTCATTATTAATCCCACTGCTATCTGACTTTCATTCCTCACCAGTCGCTGAAGCTGTTTAGCCAGGCGGCTAAGTGTTACTACATCCAAGAGATCCCTTTCTGTGCTGACAGCATTTGACACCGAGCTTTGTCTAATAATGCTGTCTTTGTTGGTTTCTCTATGATTTTCATCCTATCACTGTCTCCTTTTATGGCTCTTCTTCCTTTACCTACTCCTGAAATATTGATATTCTACAAAGTCCTATCCTTGGCCATTTTCTTACTCTTTTTTTGGCAATCTCTATGACTTCAGCTACCACCTATATGTTGATTTCAGAATTCATGTCTGTAGCCCAAACCTCTTTCCTTTGCTTCAGATAAGTATATCCAGCTACACAGCAGACATCTTTTCCTGGAAGTCCTTGAATATTTTTGTCCCCAGATGAACTCCTAATCTCTCTCTAATCTGCAATTCCAAATCTCAGTTGGTAGCACTGCCCTTCCTCCAGTTTTCCAGAGTCCAAAACCCAGAAGTCCTCTTAACCTCTCCCCTCTTCCTTATATCTAGATGGTGACCAAGGTGTGTTATCTGCTTCCTAAAAATTCCCTCCTATTGAGTTTGGAAAAGCAGGCAGACACTCTCATCTTTTGCTGGTGGGCATGTAGATTATTATAACACTTATCACAGCAATTTGAAGTGTATATGCAAAGTTTTTAGATTCACATATCCTTTCCCTCAACAATTTCTATCTATGAATTTATCCTAAGGGAATAGTTGATATATACAAAGAATGTACAAGAATAATTATACTAGCAAAATTTTATAAATAATCTAAATTTCCGATAATATAAGATTCCTCAACCATATTTTGGTACATTCATAAAATAAAATACTATAGTCATTAAAATTACATTATAGAATATTTTTGACACAGGAAAATGCACTTGATATATGGTTTTGTGAAAAAAGCAAGATTCAAAATATTAGTATACAATATGACACCACCTTCATAAAAAAATATTTGCTTCCTGAAAAGGCATATAATAATAAATTAACGGTAGTTATTTTGGGTAGTGAGAATTATTGGACGTTTTCTTTGTGCTTCTCTGAGTGATCCCCACTTTCTGATTGAGCATATATTTATTTTGTAATTATAAAAATTATTTTAAAAAGACTCTCCTATTCAACAGTAGGAGAGTACTATTGAGAGTATAACAATAGTCTCCTATTCAAAAATACTCTCCTATTTTTCACTGCTACAGTCTCTCCTTATCTCCCACCTATATCCTCTTCCCTCATCCTTCACCACCTCACTGGGCTTCCTGCCCTCAACTCCAGCCCCTTCAATCTCCTGCCACAGTGGCCAGAGTGTGTCCCTCACAATCCAAGCATGACACTCCCAGGCTCAAAAGTCTGGACCATTATGACCACATTTCTCAACACAACCTGAAGCCCTTCATGGTCTGCAGGCTTCTCTCTTACCATAGGGCTGGCCTCTCCCTCTGCTCCAGTTCTCAGTTCCTGGTGGGTCCCTGCCCCTGGGCTGCCCTTTCTCACATTCCTCTTCTGCTCGAGTGTCCTTCTTCTGGATCTCTTAGCAGACCTGCCCTTCAAGTCCCGGGAGTGGCTTTCTGGCTGTTATACCAGCACAAGCCTCTGCTGGTGCATGTTCCACACTGGGCAGTCCTACTTTGTTCACTTTTTGCCGAGAGATCCTCAAAGGCATGGCTTGGCCCTTCACTGTAACCACATTGTCCCTGACACATGTAAATACTCAGCAAAGTTTTGTTGGGTGGTACACACAGATAAACTCCCTTGGGCAGAGTCACAATTACACTTACAGATCTCTCCATTTTGTGAAAGCCGCACAGCCCCACTTGGCCACCTGTCTTCAAGTACAGACACAGGAGACTGTAATAAGCATGCATAAAAACATTCCTGTAGGCAGAGCCCACAGGCAGCCTCAGGGCCTTTGCACATTCTGATCACTCTGCCTGGAACCCTATTCTTTCAGTTCTTCACATGGCTATTTCTCACTCACCTTTCCAGTCCCAGCTCAATGTCACCTTGAAAGAGAGAGCCCTCTTTCATTACCTCTATTTAAGTAGCTCTCCCTGGTTACTTTCCATTTCCAGTACCCCGTTTATGTCCTTTACACAATTTGGGACAATTTACAAAACTCTTATTTATTTCTTGATTATCATCTATCTCTCTCCATCTCCTACCCTGGTGGAGTAGGAGGGCACCATGAGGGCAGGATCTCGTACTACTTTATATATATCATGATAAATTCCATGCCTAAGCAAATGAATCACACACACACACACACACACACACACACACACACAAAGCTACAATAATTACAAACACATAATGACAACCACACACTGTCAGTGATCCAGACGCCCACAGCCGTACACTCTGGACTGCCCGCCCCCCAACCCCCGCCCCAGCTCGCTACTTACCGGAGTCACAAACCTGTTGGCTTCCCAGGCCCACAGAGGTGGGTCCTTATAGCCCTCCTTGATGGAGGTAGGATCCCTGTAGGAGTCACTGTAGGTGCTGATGGGGGTCTTAGTCTTATGGGAAAAGAGGAACATAGTGGGGTCTAGGGGATGCCGTGGTGGGCTCTACCTACTAGGGGCTCCTGCAATACATCAGTGACCACCCAATCCCCTTTCCCAGACAGCTCAGCAGGTGCCCCAGCTGCTGCGACCCCCCTCCTGTGGAGGATCTCTCAGCTTCCCTCCCTCACAGCCTTCTTGCTCCTACCCCACCCTGATTCCCTCTCTAGGATGGGCAATGCCCATTATGATATCACCTGGCTCAGCCCCATCCCTGGAGAGGTGAAGAGGTCTGATTTCCTCCCTACCCCAGTCTCTTCCTGCCTCAAGCCTCTCAAAACAGCCCAATTTCCAAGAGTTCACAAGGTCCCTGGAGATCTTCTAGGCGAAGCTTCTCACTGTGATGAAGAGAAACAGAGATTCTGAGGGGTCAACTGAGTCATCCAGAGCCGTTGCAGCTGGTCGGTGGCAGGCCGAGCCTGGGAACCCACAGGTGGAGGTAGGGTGAAATGCGCATTCAGAGGATCGGTCCTCTGCCCTTCCCGGCCCATCTGCCCCTTGCCCGCACCCCAGGTAGGGAGCTGAGGCTGGCTTGTTTGATGCTTTTAATATCATTATTTGTGTTACACGATACACAACCAAGGATGATGGTCAATACTGCGATGGAAACGTTAAAAAAAATTTTATACACGGCTCATGTCTTCCACACACCTTCCTGGAAATAAATTAGTGAGCACGGAGAAACGGCTGGCTGGCAGCCAGAGCTGAGGGTAGAGGGAGTGTTAAGGCAGTATCTACAAGGGGCAAGGGTGGCAGGGGGCAAACTAAGGCCTCGATTCCTCCCCTCCAACCTCCCTCACAGGGAAGGAGGGAACCATGCACTTTCCCTAGACCCAGAAAGTGCTGGCTGCCAGCTTCGTACTTCTCTCCGCTACACTGCCTCAGGTAGAAGCCCTTGCCTGCCAGGGAATTAGGTATATCTTGTGGGGAGGGAGCCTTTCCCTTATTCCTCAGGGCCAGAGAGGTTGAGCAGTGGGCCAGAGTCACACAGCATGTCAGCAGCAAAGGCAGCAGTCTAAGTGAGCCTTGGCGGGGGCCCTGACTGGAAAAGAGGAGGTACCCACGTTCTCGAAGGGTGAGTCAAGGAGGCGGGGGGTGGTGGTGGTAGTAGTAGTAGGAAGCTTGGTTTTGGGGCCCAGATGACGGGGGGTGGGTATGCTGACCGGGGCGGGGGGCGGGGGGAGAAACAGGCTCAGGTGGGGACCAGTACGGGCCGTGTGAGTCCTGCAGGTGTCTTCTCCGTCCTTGCCTCCCTTTGGCATTTTCTCATCATCTAACTGGGGTCCCTGCACTGGAGAAGTTAGGCGTGGGTTGGAGGAGTTGAGGGTGGAGAGCTGCACCTCAGCACTCAGGAGCTGGCAGTCCCTGGGTGTGGTGCAGGGAGAGGTGCTACCCCTCCTAAGCCAGCAGCCTTACTCTCTCTTCTCACTGCCCTTGCCCCCTCCCAACTCCCACCTCCCAGGACTGGCAGCCAGGAACTGGGCTGTGTGTGTGTCCTGTGCACGCTGGCACCATGTGAGTGGTATATATTAGAGTGGATTGGCCAGCACGTGGGGGAGGTCAGCATGGAGGAGTGGCCCTGGGATACGGGGTTTGTGCGGCATAGACCTGACCAGGCGTGGGCTATCTGTGCTTTTGCTTTCCTTCGCACGGGGCAGATCTATACTGCCCAGGCCCAGGGGAGGGCCTTGGTCACCTTCTCCCTTTTGATTTTCATCCTCAGCTTTTCTAGCCACCACCCCCACCCCTGCCACCACTGAGAAACAGCAGCAGAAGCAGTAGTACATATATTCTGACTCTCAGACACCCACACAGCTACACACACCATAGATACTCACATACACGTGCACATCCACAGACACACACAGACACACACTCACACATTTCCCAAAAGATCCGATTGTACTCAGGCATACACAGGTCCCACAGGAACTTCCTCCTCTCTTTTCCACCATAGGAGGAAGCAATGAATGATGTGCAACTCAGGAAGCCACCAGATGTACTCAAAAGACAACACAGATACCTCCTTATCCACCTCTACAGAAATTCCTATGAAGAAATTCCTTCAGGTTTGGAAGAACCTTAAAAATAATTTCAGATGCTGCTCATTGTACAGTGGAGGGAACTGAAAGCCAGAGAATATAAATGGCTTGTTGGAGGTAACGGGGAGAGTGCCAGAGCCTTCTGACCGCCAGCCCACTGCACTGATGAGCAGCCTCTCACACTGTTAACAGGCCACACAGTCACTTCCCCGCCGCGGACGCCACAGACATCTGGAGACACAGGCCCAATGCAGAGATGTAGACACACGCCCTCACAGCCCCAGGCACACACACGCTCTGCCAAGCTGTCCCTGCCATACACATGCAGCCACTGTATTCTCTAAGGCTTGCTTCCTTGAAGATTCTTCCTGGGAAGCAGCCTCTGGGATCTTGGGCTAGAGTGAGACCGGAATGGGGCATTCGAGGCCAGCCTTAACTCCTGCTTCCAGCCAGGGACAGAGACCAATGAATGGAACAGAAGTGTAAGTGTGTGTGTGTGTGTGTGTGTGTGTGTGTGTGTGTGTGTGTGTGTGTGT